TTATGTGCCGTCGAGTTGGACCCGACTCATAGCGACCCCTCCTTGGGTTTCTGAGGCAGTATCACTATGGAAGTAGATTGCCCCATCTTCCTTCCGATAGGGATAAATATAGATCAATAGATAGATATAAAATAAAAGAGATCATGGTACAACAATCTTAGCTTAACTAAAATAAATAATAAAAAGGTTAAAAGAGCCCAGGATATTTAATGGATACCCAGACAACAGGAAAGTAGATTTTTAAAAGGAAGCAATATAATGTGAATGTAAATAGATGTTCAGAAAGTTGATTTGTTGATTCTAAAATTCAAGGTATTTCCTTTTGGCTACACAAGAAAGAGTTTTAATAAATCCCTTTGTATATATTCCTGAAAGGTAACTATTTTATAGGAAAATGGAAAGTTGGAAGAAAACCTGTTCCCTCATGTCTCGGTACTAGAATCATGCTTAAGATCTTGCCAAAATAATATCCTTCCAAGAGGTATGGCATTATGTGTGCACCCAATTAAAGCAATTTTTCTTTGCTTTGTTTCCTAACTTAAATTCAAATGACATATAAACTACCACTGAAAGGGGACAAAACAAAAAGTTCTCATTCTAAGCTTTAATGGATAACAACCTATGTATTAACCTTAAAAAATATTGCACTAAATTCTTTTTCTTGATTCCACTCAATAAGTATTTAATATTGGAATTTTAAAGGCACTGTAATATGCACCATAGTACTTATTAAGTGCCTCATTTTTCAATAAAATAGAATTTATGTTTCTTAAAAGCAAACTCAAAGACTTTAATAATCATATTAAGGGAGTGAGAAAATAAGGTACTGAAAAACATATAGATCAAACATTATATTTTTGAAGAAACTGATAGATCTCAACACTGAAATAATGATTATTGAACTGTTTACTATGTCCTAAGGTATTCATTATTTTCAGTATACTCGGCACACAATAACAACACACTTTAATAAGGAGCCCTGGTGGTGCAATGGTTAAGAGCTTAGCTGCTAACCTAAAGATTTGTGGTTCAAATCCACCAGTGGTTCTGTGGGAGAAAAGACCTAGTGATCTGCTCCTATTAAGAGTAAAGCCAAGAAACTCTATGAGCAGTTCTACTCTGTTTATTAAAGTCACCATGAGTCAGAATTGGCTCGATGACACATAACAACAACAACATTTACTACATTTAATTTAAACTTGTTTAAAAAAAAAGTCACCTGCCTTGACCCCCAGAACTGAAAATAGTTCATTTCTGGTAAAAGACATGGACTGCTGAATTGATTGTTTTTCCCATTTATCCAGAACTATGAATAACAGGGGAGCTCTGGTGGTATAGTGCCTAAAGCATCTGACTGCTAACCAGAAGGCTGGCAGTTCAAATCTGCCAGCCACTCCTCAGAAGGAAGACTGGGTAATCTACTTCAATAGTGATACTGCCTCACAAACCCAAGGAGGGGTATCTATGATTTGGATCTAACTCAATAGCAGTGAATTTGGTTTTTTTTTTTTTGTTTATGAATAGCAGAGTTACTTTTGAGTGTCCTATCACAGTACTTCTGAATCAGATATCATATTATACTACCTTCTTACAGATTCCAAAATCCTTACCTTCCACTGTCAATGACACAGTGTCTTGTGTGTCTTCAATCCCATACATGACATCACAGCGGTAGAGACCCACATCACTGGCACGCAGCTTGACCATGGTGAGTGAGGCATCACCCACATCTTCTGGATGGGTAGGCACAGACACTCTTCCTTTGTAACCCTGGCCAATCTTGATATTCCCATTTTGGGCTACTAGAACAGTTGTCTCCTTTAAATCCTTTCCACTCTTGTCAACTTCAATCTTAGACCATTTAATTCGAAGAAATTCACTGGTTGTGTTATAACTAGGTGGTAAGGTAGGCATGGTTGAAAAATGGCAAGGTAGGCTGACTTTTCCAGAGAGGGAGCCCTTAACAGGTGGAATTTTTTCCATTTTGACTAGAAGAAAGAGAAAAAAACAGATTAACAGTCTTATTGGAAAAAAAAAAAAACTTTGTGTATTAAATGTGTCAATGGACAAGAAACTCTTATAGTGATTTGGTTTATACTTTCAATATGTGAAACAATTAGAATAATTTTATACACAGTGAATAGCATTCAAAATGTTTTATAACAGGGATTAATAGTGTTCCTTTTATGTATTGAAACATATCTTCCATTTTAAAGTATTTGAAACTTAGTGTTTAACATGAACAAATTATGTGATAAAATAAATTAAGCATAATAAGGTAATCAAGGGCAGAAGGATAAAGAGTAGTTGAAAGGTGAAGATTATGTCGACAGGTAGATGATGAAAAACATTTAAGATAACTCCCACATTACCTTAGGGGAAATTTAAATAAATTCAAAGAAGGAAGTGAGAATTTTTATAAAAGTACTTCATTGGATTAGAGCTGGGATAAGTCTAATTAAAAGATTCTCTTTGGTCCTGGGTTTGAACAAAAGGCCTTCATTATAATGGAATATCCAGCTGTGATCACTTTGCCATGAAATTCTGTCTCTCAATTATCTTTTGAGGGAAAGCTGGCTACTGTTCACCCAGCCCTCCTAAAATATTTATCTGCAGAACATCTTTCTGTTTAAGCCCTTGAACTTTTAATGATTAAGTATACATTGACTACAATTCAACATCATTACATGTAAAAGAAAATATTCTTTCAGTCATAAGAACCCATCTGCCTGCCCCAGGGGCCTACTAATTAGGCTGAAAAGAAACATTTTGGTAATAAGAATATAAACTATTGTTAAAGCACAAGCAAATCTCACTTGATGAAAATATGGTCTGCAAGTTAATAGTAACCACTAGGTGGAGTATATAATAATTTTTAATTTAAAGAATGATGTGTATCTAACAGTGGGTGTTCATGGTTAAAGTTATTGCTAACACACATTCAATATGTAAATGCATCTGAAATGATATAGCTTCAATGTAGACACATGAATTCAGTTGCAGATAAATGATTTTGAAAATAGCAGGGAGATATTATAGAGATATTATGCTCTAAGAAAAAAAACTTTCTCTATTGCTAAAGATTGAAATTGAACTTAAAAAAGACTACCCTATAAAATCTTATATATAACACAAATAAATCCAAAATAATTAAAGTATTAATTATATCAACATATTTATTGTATCTACAGTTGTTGTTGTTGTTGTTGTTTGCCGTCGAGTCGGCCCCGACTCATAGCGACCCCTCCTTGGGTTTCCGAGGCAGTATCACTACGGAAGTAGGATTGCCCAACCTTCCTTCCGAGGAGTGGTTGGTGGGTTTGAACGGCCAGCCTTCTGGTGAGCAGTCAAGTGCCTTAGGCACTATGCTATCTACAGTAGAGATCACAAATTACTTCAAACTTATAGTGGTCATTTTTACAAAGTATTGTTTTAAAATCACATGGTTAATCTATATATAGTTTGTCCAAAACCAGACTGATAAATAATTTTTTAAAAAAGTAAAAGTAAACATGCTGTCTATTAGCTGTACTCAATTAATCTTTAAAATGTAACTGAGATTATTAGTATGCTAGGACATAAGATCAGAGGAATAATTCCATTTTCAATGGTCACTTTAGCTTACAAAATAAATTATCTTACTTAAAGCTTGACCTCAGAATGACACCGACCCAATCTATTACTAAGGATGCTCCACTGAAAGAGACACTCAAGATCATGGCTGGTCAGTGAAAGAACCTGGGCTAGAACATGTGTCTCTTTACAAATAATTGAATTCATTAGGTTTGATATTGATTGGGTTCTTCCCCTATTTCTAAATTAAATCTCATAAGAAGTCTTATGTTAGTTCCCTTTCAGAGTCCAACCACCCAGTTGCCATAGAGTCCATTCTGACACATGGTGATGCCAGTGTGTCAGGCTGTGTGTCAGAATAGAACTGTGCTCCCTAGGGTCATCAATGGCTAATTTCTCCCAAGGTGCCTCTGAGTAGACTCACACCTCCAGCCTTTCAATTAGCAACCAAGTGCATTAACTGTTTGCACTACCCAGGAATTCTTTTATTACTATCTGAAGTGAAACCTTTTAGAAATTTCATAAATTTGATCCAATTAAGAAGATAATGACAGCACAAAGATATCTTGAACTTTTTAGTTTATTTTTATTTTTTTTGCCAAGAATGAGAGTCCTTGGAAAGGAAAGAGTGAGGACTCTGTGGGCGAAAACCTCTTAATTTACATTCATCATATGCTCCATGAAATCTTTTTTTCTTGCTTCCTAAAGAATTAGATGATCTTCTCTACCATAAATAAAATATCACTTTGTTGATGGAGAATAAACAGCTTCACCATCACCTCAGTTATGGTATAAAGTATAAGACTTTATAAAGATGTTTACCTGTGTTTTACTGAGGATGCAAAGATACTCCACTGTGTGGATCATAACAAATTATGGATAACAAAGAATGGGGATTTTAGAGCACTTAATTGTGCTCATGAGGAACCTGTACCTAGACTCTGTTGTTCGAACAGAAAAAGGGGATACCGCATGTTTAAAATCAGGAAGGGTGTGCATCAGGATTGTATCTTTTATATCCATGTGTATTCAATCTGTATGCTGAGCAAATAATCCAAGAAGCTGGATGACATGAAGAAGAACAGGGCATCATGATTGAAGGAAGACTCATTAACAACCTGTGATATGCAGATGACCCAACCTTGCTTGTGGAATGTAAAGAGGACTTGAAGCACTTACTGATGAAGATCCAAGACTAATTCTTCAGTATGGATTATATCTCAACATAAAGAAAACAAAATTCCCACAGTGGACCAATAAGCAACATCACGATAAATGGAAAAAGATTGAAGTTGTCAGGGATTTAATTTTACTTGGATCTACAATCCACACCCATGGAAGCAGCAGTCAAAAAATTAGACATTGTCCAATATTGCACTGGACATATCTGCTGCAGAAGACCTCTTTCAAGTATGAAGAAGGAGGATGTCACTTTGAAGACTAAAATGTGCCTAACCCAAGCCACAGTATTTTTAATCACCTCATATGCATGTGAAAGCTGGATAAAGAACAATGAAGACCAAAGAAGAGTCGATGCCTTTGAATCATGGTATTGATGAAGAATACTGAAAACACCATGGACTGCCCAAAGAGCAAACAAATCTGTCCTGTAAGAAGTCCAGCCAGAATGCTCCTTGGAAGTGAGAATGGCCAGACTTTGTCTCACCTGCGTTAGTCATAAGATCAGAAGGGACCATTCCCTGGAGAAGGATATCATGCTTGGTAAAGTTGAGGGTCAGTAAAAAAGGGGAAGACCTTCAACAAGATGGATTGACACAGTGACTGCAACAATGGGCTCAAATATAGCAAGGATTGTGAGGATGGCACATGATCGGGCATTGTTTCGTTCTGTTGTCCATAAGGTCACTAGGAGTCAGAGTCGACTCTATGGACCTAACAATGAACAACATCTCTCCTTCAAAATGAGTAGAAGATAATTGATTTCTAATTCCTAAGGCATTTGACTGCAAACCAGAAGACTGGTGGTTCAAACCCACCAGCCACTCCTCAGAAGGAAGGTTGGCCAATCTACTTCCGTAGTGATACCGCCTCAGAAACCCAAGGAGGGGTCGCTATGAGTGGGATCCAACTCGATAACAGTGAATAACATTTATCACTAGATTATACTTTCTTTTCATAATTTTAGAATAATTTTATGTAGGGGAAGACATAAGATCCAGCCCTGTATATCAAATAGGGAGATTTCTGAATTTTAAGATAATGCTAAATAATTGTATGGTTATAAAAAGAGAACACTGGAACAAAATGACATCAAAAAGTAAATTTCCCAAGGGCTGTGTATTGTTCTGGATGTTTACAGATATAAGAACATTAAAAGCTTATTTATTTAATTAAATAAGCTTTTAACATTATTTAATTATATAAACTTTCTAATTATTTAAGTAAATAAGGTTAGATATAAATGCACAGTCCTGTAGAATCTAGTCTTAACAACAAGATTAACAAAGAGCTGTGTGGTCATATCTTTTGTGTATTAAATCTTGGGTCTTAATGCACTGGGTAAAAAGAACTAAGTTCAGTAAATCTAAATATTTTAAGAAAGATTTTTAGTAGTTCAGTGTATCATGTTTATAGACTATGCTAAAAAAAAAAAAAATCTGCTACCTGCAGGAACTTGCTTGAAACTCTGACAATGTGAGTAATAAAAATGAATCCTAACAAAAACTCACTGTTCCCACCAGATGGTTTTGGTCTAAATGAGTACAGTAAGGGAGAAAGATCTAAATAATGAATGATCAATTACCCTTCATTTTCTGTCAGTAAATTCTGCCAAGTAAAGATGATGTAAATTCCATCTGCACAATTTGACCAAACACACACACACATACAGAAACTATGGCCAAATAGATGTCAGATTGAGAATATGGGAATTTATCACTCTTTCAAATGGTGAATATCACTCTCGTTCATTCAATGATGCATGATTATGCATGCCTCCATTTCTTACCATTAGAGGAATAGTCAAGTAACTAGGCCTATGCTAGAGAATTACTGATCAGGACAGTTTGTAATCTAATATAACAGGAATTGTTAAAAAATAAAGAGCTCTTTATGTGTTAGCATAAAATCAATAATCAGTATACAGTGTTCATTCATTTTTGTCATTGACTTCTTGAGTTCCTTAAGATGAAAGCACTTGTGTTGATTCAATAGATTACTATTTGTATCCAACTATAGACTTGGCAAATTTGTTTTCTGAGAATCTTAAGTTTTCTACTTTGCCACTAATAAGAAAAAATAAAATTATTCTGAAATTAGCCTAAATTAATTACATCTCTTAATAGTAATCACGGATTCACAAAGAACTTGATTTTTGGAATGAGGCATAATATAGTAGTTAAGGGCATGGACCATGGAGTCTGACTGCCTGGGTTGAACTCCCAGCTCCATCACTAACTTGCTTTGTGATCTTGCATATTAGTTGTGCCACTAAGTCTCTTTTTGCTTTCCTCATCTGCAAAACAGGCATAACAGAAATATCCACCCCACTGGAAAGTTAAGATTATATAAATTTACTATGTAATATACTTAGAATTGGTCCTGGCACATAGAAATTATTTACTACTGTTAGCTATTATTACTATTTTAAAATATTATTGAGGCACTACCACGTAAGTGCTTTACCACCACTCCTCTATTGTTTTTGTGAGTTATTTCTTTGTTTTAAGTAGAAGGTCTAAATTTGTTTAACTGGAGGGATGTCTACCATGTCCCTCATTTTTCTCCCACTACTTTCTGTGTAATTCCCCTTCCATCATTGCCCACCAAAACCAACTCCTATCTCCACATCTCCTTTCAAAGTCCTCCCTCTTCACTGAATGTCATGGTCCTATCCTCTCTGTGATCTTCACCAGTGCTTAACTTCCTGAAGAAGTTCAAGAAGACAGCTCCTAGGCTGTTACCCAATGGACCCTATACTCTAATAACCATCTAGATTGCTTATGGAGACATTAATTTCTTTGCTCATTTCTTTATTCATTCACTTATTCACTCAACATATAAAATAATTAAGTGCTAAAAACGTGTCAAGCACTCTGCTAGAAGATAAAAAACAGGCCTCTTCCCGACCCGGCCCATTCTTTATACCATCATTCTGCTTTATTTTCATCAATCTGAAATTGCTTGGCTTGTTTATTTGTTTACATGTTTATTGTCTGTCTCCTATAACTACAAGATTAAATTTAATGAAAATTAGAACAATGTACAACTATGGTATTCTCAGATACCCAGAAGACAAAAGAGAGAGAGAAAGAAAGAAAGAAAGGGAGGGAGGAAGGGAATGAAGGGAAGGAGGAAAGAGTGAGACTTGAATTTGAGTGTGAAGGAATTATTTCGAGGTAGAACTGTAGAAAATAAGAGAAAGGAGGGATTTATATGTAAAAAACCAAGAATGAAAGTCTGGCATGAAATTACAAATTGTTTTAGAACATCTGAAGCATAGGCTGAGTGTGGGGAGGAAGTGGGAGCTGAGTCTGGACAGGTACACTAGGCGGAAGCCAGGTCACTAAACTCAGTGTTGTTACTTGATCTTTCTTCCAGTTCTTTGACATATCTCCTTGAATATATTAAACAATAAAATTCGAATAAAATTCACTAAACCAAAAAAATCAGACTCACTGACATCAAGTTGTTTCCGACTCATAGCGACCCTCATTGGGTTTCTGAGTCTGTAATCTTTATGGAAGTAGATTGACCAGTCTTCCTTCCATGGAGCAGCTGGTGGGTTTGAACCGCTGACTTTCTGGTTAGCAGTCAAGTCCCTTATCCGCTACACTACTAGAGCTCCTTAGAACACTCATTAGATTGATACAAAATTTAAAGCTAAGAAAAACAATACATACGTGTCCGACTACTCATATTAAAAAAAAAGAAAGACAAGTTGGGGTAAAGACTTGGTTGTCAGCCTTCTCTTTACTTTCTTGGCTCTTTTCAAACTCTAGACTCTTACATGTTTAATAATCTTTCTTTTTTTAGAGGAAAGTCTTTAAGTAATATTGAAGAAGATGGATTTTAAAATATTCTCAATGCCAAATATGAGCCTTTGCCCACGGGCAAAAAAAAAAGAAAGTAATCTGGGAAGTTACTTACCTTTTTATCATACGGTTCATTACTTTACTTATATAAAACCACTATTTTCAGCCAAATACTATTTAGCTGAAAATTTTCAGCATTGAATGGATGAAAATTATTCCTTAATTCTCAGTAATTTCCGATTGTCATTTCATCCCCTGGTACTCAACATTTGATTTCAAATAGCACCGATGGAGCTGTTACCACACTCACCTTTATGTAGTGCATGGGTTGCTATTAAGGTTGAGCACACCCATAAGATGCTTTTTATATTTATCAACATCTTGCCCTAGAAATGAAGAAAAATGCAAAGCAAGTTATAAACATTCAGGTTTGTGGCAAGCCATAAATCACATGTTATAAGTGCACTGTATATAATACAAGTACAAAAAGCAGCTTCTCTTGGATTATAAAAACAGGAGTAAACATGTAATGAGAAAATTGTTCCAACACTATAATTATTAGTTTGGATCTCACCTAATGCAGTAGTTACCAAGATAATTCCAGAACCCAGTTTGGGGACATATAACAATGTGGATATGTGGGACAACCACAGCTGAGTAGGCTGTAGGAAGAACAATACAGACCACAGCCTAAGTAACTGGAGACTAGGATCTGGCCCAAAGAGGGAGGGTGACCACAAAGTCTATTTAGAAACAGGAAACTGGTCATGAATGGAATAAGAGAAGATGGGAAACCAATAGAGGGAGATATTGAGAAGAAGGAATTTGTGTCAGTGGTGAAGAGGAACACATTGGTGATTCATGCACATGGTATAAAAACAGAGAGTAAGGATCTCAGCAGGATTTTTAAAGCACAGATTTGATTTAGTTTCTAGGTGGCTGCAGAAACAAAATAAATGTATTATAAGGAGCTGTTAATTACAAAAGAGACCAATGCTAGCCATGAGTTTTGAAAGCAGTTGCAGCAGTTCTAAAGTCTCAAGGACAAAGAATGAAAGAAAATACCCTGTCCTGAGAGTCATGAAACCCTGCCCTTGGCTATGCTATTAACTTACTTGTGACTTTGGGCAAGGCATTTAACAATTTGAGTCTCAGACTAGTCCCTTTCAACTCAAATTTCTAAGAAGCTATGGTTATGGAGAGAAAAAATACCAGTGTTGGAGACCATCTAGAAATCAAAGAGCCAACTTCAGAAGAACTGCAGAAGATATTTGTTCTCCACAGTTGTGTCCTTCTCAGCTACACTTAGAACTCTTCCATAACAGCCATTGTTGATTGGCAACCCAGTAACCATTCCTCTCTCCTTCCTAATGAAACTGTGATTCTATTGCAGTATTTTCCCCCCTTCACATGGTCATATGTTCTCGAAAAGTCTGGGTTCAACCCCGGTTTAAAAGGATGATACTGATTATCCTAATTACAGTAGTCCCATTCCCTTTGCCAGTGACTTGTTTCTGAATGAGCATGTGACTCAATTTTGGCCGATGAGATGTGAAGGATCTATACTGGGGTGCCCCTGGGAAAGGTATTCATCTTAAGAAAAGAAAAATGAGAGAGATGGTTGTTTTTCTCCACTAGACATTGTCATGATACCATTTTTTCCCTAAAAGTGTTGTAGCTGTCTTGCATATATGAGTGTATAAGAAACCTCTGTCAGTGAAGCTGAGAGAGAATCAGGAGAGACAAGACTTAAGTCCTCAGGAGTCACCTAGAGTGGCCCTACCTTTGGATTTATTTTTATGTGAGATAATATATTGTTTTTTGTTTAAACTCAGTTAAATGAAGACTTTTTGTTACTTGCAGTTGAAAGTATCCTGTCACGTAATTGATGCCCTGAATAACTTCCTTACACCTTCTTCATAAAACTTTTAAATTCTGTATTATGTAGGAAATCTAGATTGAATATATATATATAATACATATTTGTTGTTGTTGTTGTTGTTGTTATGTGCCGTCGAGTCGGCCCCGACTCATAGCGACCCCTCCTTGGGTTTCCGAGGCAGTATCACTACGGAAGTAGGATTGCCCAACCTTCCTTCCGAGGAGTGGCTGGTGGGTTTGAACCACAGCCTTCTGGTTAGCAGTCAAGTGCTTTAGCCACTATGCTACCAGAGCTCCTTATATACATATATATAGATATATATGCGCTATAAGAATCCAAGTCTAATTCATGCTTAAGTTCAGTTTCATAGTATATGACAGCTATTCATTTCTCTGTAATATTGTTCTGCATTTGATTTCTTTATTTCATATATGTAGAAAGATGTTAGAACAAATTATAAAATATTTAATTCTAGGTATTTCCTGAAAGACCCTTTTATAACCTAATACGTGCATATCACATATTTCACTTTGAGGCCATGTGACAACTCACACTGAAAATTATATGGTTGATAACCCTAAATTAACCTTGATAATTATGTTTATTATTTATTGGATTACTGGGATATGCTAATAGACTTAGTTAAACACTAATTGGGAAATTCCAAATAGTTCTGTTTCTGAATTTCTCATAAGATACAAGCAAGAAAACAATACACATCTATATCTAAATGCCATTAAAATATTCCAAGGAAAAATAACTGTATCAATTTCACATACTTTCTATAAAGTTTATATTATTAATATCCTATGAATATTAACTGACTCTGAATAAGAAATCTTTCATTGTAAATAATAATTTCCTATCTCCTTCAAGAAAAAATTGTTCTCAGTTTTATTGTTTTCTCCAAGGAAACCTTTAAAGCATAGTCTTTAAAGCCTGGGCTGTGCTGTCAAGTAGCCCTGAATTCAAGTTCTACATCCTCCATTTATAGTTTGTGACTCTCATAAGTAACTAACTCTCCCTAATCACATTTTTGTGACTATTTAATACTGAGAATTAGTATTTAACCATTGGTGTTATTGTTAGAGTTGATTAAAATAATGCATATAAAGTATAGCTCAGTGTCAAAGTGTATTCAATATTCAAATTTTATTACCAAAATTACTAATTCAGGCTTTCAATAGGTATTCTCTTTCTGATTTCTCATCACTAATCATAAAAGCAAAAGAATTGACAGCTCTTGGATCTGAAAATTGTAACCTGGGCTACCACCCTAGTAGCAGTGTACAACTTTATTGCTGACAATAAATTGTCCTTTAACTTGTTGCTATGTACTCTATCTCACTAATTTTGAATATATTTTATCTCCTCTATAGAACAGCAGGCTTCTGGAAGGCAGAATTGGCCTCTTAATACATTTACTCATTCTCACAATGTTTCCACAGTGTCGGGCTCAAAACAGCCCCCAGGGGAAAGTTTGTAGACCAAATGAACAACCAATGTCTCTACGTTCTATTCAGAATCGTACTTTAAAGTGGCAGGGCCAACCACCATTTGTGAATATGGCCATGTAAGCTAATTAACACTTGCAACACATTGTAATTAATGCAATTGAATACTTAACATGAATCCATAGTGTTTGATATTTGCCAACATCTAGAGTGTCAGATCACTTAACAAAACCAGAGGTGACTGTGGGATTCTGATGGGGAACGTGGTTTTCTAAATTCTAACCGCCTATCCAAGATTCAAAAGTCTAACTCTTCGAACCATACCTCATCCTTATAACAGTGTTTTTGTTTGTTTCTGGGGAGGGAAAAACTGTACTTCATTTATTCAGGCATAACACGTGTACAGGTACTCATTACAACATCTGCTTAGAAGGCGTCTTACTGCATATATGTCCGTGGTCTCAAAAGGTTTTGGTTTTGTTTTTTAAGGGAAAACAGCTCTCCTTTTTCTTATTTCTCCCTAGTGGTTTTAAAGACTCCAACCCCAGACTTTTGCAGCACTGGACCAAATGTGGGATCCAGGCAGGTGAGGCGTAGGACATGGCTCTAGGTGCAGGCTCTTGGGCTTTGTCTGGTGGGCAAGCAGTGGCAGTGCGTGTGATGACAGACAGCAACAGCAGCACACAACTATTGGGCAGTCAGGCAGAAGAGCAGGCAGGGCACGGCACACTCTGCTCCCTCAGAGCTCACTTCCTATTGCTCCACTCCTGCTGCCACTGCCGCTGCCAGTTTCTCTGGCCTGGCCCAGCAGCTTCAGCAGCTCTAGCAGTGGCAGTGGCAGCAGTAGAAAAGAAGATGATGGGAAGCTGGCTCCCATAAGGTTTCAATATGGTGTCTGCATAATGTCCAAATCACATAACGTCCTATTTCACAGAATATATAGTGGATGTTAAGAGCTCTGGTGGCGAAGTGCCTAAGGCATTTGACTGCTAACCAGAAGGTTGGTGGTTCAAACGCACCAGCCACAGCCATTCCTCGGAAGGAAGACTGGGCAATCTACTTCTATATAGATACCACCTTGGAAACCCAAGGAGGGGTCACTATGAGTCGGTACCTTCTCAACAACGAGTTTTTTTTTTTTTTTTTGGTTTTATAGTGGATGTTACATAATACATAGGAGCTCTGCTGGCACACTGCCTAAGCCATTTGAATGCTAACCAGAAGGCTGGCAGTTCAAACCCACCAGCAACTCCTTGGAAGGAAGATGAAAAATCCATTACTATAAAACGTTTACAGCCTTGGAAATCCAATGGGGGTCTCTATGAGTCAGAATCCAGTTGATGGCAGTGAGTTTTTTGGTAAGTAATTCATACATGTACTCATTGTTGCCCCTAAGATTAGTCTAGACAAGGAAGGCAGTGCATTAAAAATACAAGCGAGAGATCAATCAGGTTTGCATAAACATGTCTGACCAAGTTGCCAACATTTAAAATTTGGAAGAGTTCACAATAAATCCCAGATCTGTGACTTCTCTTAAAAAATCAGAAGATGTGGCAACATTAGATCCATATTCCAGTTGGTAAGTCATCAGTATCAACCAAGCAGCAGACTCTCCCTTTAACCCTGTGCCCTCTGCACCACTGCCCTGCTTAGTCTCTCTTCCATTTCCACTCCATGCCTGGTACTTACAAATACCTGAGTTTGCAACTCTTGAATGAAAGGATAGTTTGTCATTGAGTGGCTCAAAGTCTAAGCACTAGGCTGCTATCTGAAAGGCTGTGGTATTGAATCCCTCCATCAGAAAAAAAAGTCTGACAATCTACTTCTGAAAGATCACAGTCATGGAAAACCCTATGGAATGTAATTCTACTCTGACACACATGGGTCTTCATGAGTTGGAATAGATTTGATGACCATTGGTTTGATTGTTTTTGTTTGTTTGTTTTTAATATATCCTTTTAGTAAATATCTCAAAAAGCCCTGGTGGCACAATGGTTAAGCACTCAGCTGCTAACCAAAGGGTTGGTGGTTCAAACCCACCCAG